TTGAAAGAATAGACAGACGAAGAATTGATAAATAGATAAAGAATATGTGAATGAATTAATGAATAAGGAATAGATGAATAAATCGATGAATAAAGAATACATGAATGAATTGATGAATAAAGAATAAATTCATAAGTTGATGAATAAAGAATAGATGAATAAAGAATAAATTGATAAATTGATGAATAAAGAATGAATACATTAATAAGTAAAGAATAAATAGATATATCAATGAATAACAAAGAATAAAGCTGTACTATTTACCAAACACTTTGATTGAGAATAGGTCAGGATCTGCTAGTCTCTGTCGTATGAAAAAAAAAAAAACTTTTCTTATAAGAAAGAAAATGTAAAGTTTGAGAAATGTAAATGTAGTGTTAATATTTATGATCAGCTGAGATGTTAGTTTCGTATGTAAATTGATCTATATTTAATCTACTAGTTTATAAGTAACTGAATAAATAATGAAGTTAGCAATTTGCTTGGGGGTGAAAAGGGGAGTGGGTAGAAGTCATTTTTTCACAACCTAGTTTTTAATACTTAAAACGGGTTCTTTTTTTTTTCTTTTTTTTTTGTCTGTCATCTATGTACATGTGCACACACACGCACACACGCGCACACACACAAACGCACACACACACGCGCGCACACACACAAACGCACACACACACACACATACAATAAAATGGAAGGGGGGGTGAAAAAATTATTTATAGTCAAAAGATTTTGATATAACACATACACACACACACACACACACACAATGGAGGGGGGGGGGGTAAGAAATTACTATTTTGAAATTATGTTTTTTATATACTTATAATTTCAAACGCGGGAGGGGGGGGGGAGGGTTGATGAAGAAAACACAATTTTTCCATGGAGTAAAAAAGGAAGTGTTGATGGGGGCAACAAAACCACATTTTTTTTTCAATAATGTTGTTTTTTTATATAATCAAAAGGGGGGAGGGAGACGACTTTTCTTCAATAAGGGGGGGAGGGGGCAACGCAGGGATTAGTGCTGTTCGAAAAGTAAAATATGAAACAACTCTATTTCCACGAAATAATTTGTATGAATACCGCTCCACTGAAATTTCATCAGCTGTTCATATTGCTGTTAATTATCCCCATTCCTATCGTTATTATCATTACTGTTGTTATTGTTATTATCGTCATTGCTGTTGATATCATTATTATCATTATTACTAATATTTTACTATTATTATTGTCGTTGTTGTTATTGTTACTATTATCATCATTGTTGCTAACATCATTATTATCATTGTTAACATCATTATTATTTTTAAAACTCAAATAAAGGTACTGGGAGTCTGTGATGGTGATGGTGATAAATAATTGAGTTTGATCGATCTATAAAAATACAAGACACAGGGCAATGAAATGTCTTGATCTTTGTGGCAAAGATGTGTTCTATTTCACAGTAACTTGGCTTCACAAATTAATCACGAAAGGACACGGGGAAAACCAGGGAATTCTCCCCCCCCCACACACACACACACTCCGATATCAGTGCTCTCTATCTCTGTCTTTGTCTGTCTCTCTTTCCCTCTATCTATCTATCCATCGCTCTGTCTCTATTTCTGTCTATCTATCTATTTATCTATCAATCCATTTTCTCTCTTTCTCTCTCTCTATATATATATATGTATATTTTTATCTATCTATCTCTATATCCATCTCCCTCTCTCTCTCTCTCTCTCTCTCTCTCTCTCTCTCTCTCTCTCTCTCTCTCTCTCTCTCTCTCTCTCTCTCTCTCTCTCTCTCTCTCTCTACCTTCGCCTCTACTATTATTATTAGCATTTCTTTATCATTATCATCACCATTACTATTATTACTCTCATTATCACCACCATCATCATTACCACCACATTCACCATTATCATTATGGCAATTTTCGCGAGCGTGACGACCTTCGTAAATGTTGTTAATTTTTGTGATGATGTAAAAAATCTATTTATATTTAGTCAATAGCCAGTAGCACCGTGTCAGTGTAAAGTTCGCTGTTTACGTTTATATTGCATTTATTTTGATGATATGAATATTAATTGAGAGAGAAACTGATTATCTTGCTGTTGTTATTGATTATGGCGATTATTATTGTTGTTGTTATCATTATCACCATCATCATCACCATTATCTTTATTAGCAATATCATTATTATCATTACCATTATGTATTGTTATCCTTATTATCATTATTGATATCATTACTATTATCATTATCATCATCATTATTACTATTATTATTATTATTATCATCATTATTATTGTTATTATTATTATTATTATTATTATTATTATTATCATTATTATTATCATTATCATTATTATTATCATTATAATTATTACTATTACTATTATTATTGTTATTACTATTATCGCTATCATTATCCTTATCATTATCCTTATCATTATTATTATAATCATCATCATTATTATTATTACTATCGTTAATATTGTTGTTATTATTATCTTTATCATCA